GGCTAAAATTCGATTCTATGTCTGCTGGTAGTTTATCTAGCCACATTTGGCGGAATATTGTGGTTGATATGTCGTTACCCAACAGTTGTTGCATTCGTCGTAGTAGTTGAGATGGTTTCGCATCTCCAATCGTAACGTTCGTTAAAAGGTCTCGTATCTTTCTTTCTTCTGAAAAACCAGATCTGTGTAGTATTGCTTGTTTGAGAGTTTCGTATGATTTTTCTACGGGTAAAGAGGTTAATATGTCGGCTACTTCAGCCACTACATCTGCAGGTAGTTTCTCCACCACTGCCGCGAATTTCGATTGTTGTGAGGTTATATGTCTGGCCTGGAATATCGCGTCCAGTTGTAAAAACCAGGTCTGCACATTTGAGTTAAAAACAGGCATTTCCAGTCTGATGGCCGTTTCTGTTATAGGAACTGGATCAGCCATTTATGATATTGAATTTTCTTGTTTCTGTATTTTCGGTCTGCTGTTTCGAAACACGTGACAATTTATTTTTTTTCCTGCGCGTTTGGAATTACCACTAATTTGGTTTTGTTCGTTAGGATTATGGAATTTTTGTTGAAACGTCGGGTTATCCTATTTTGTTGATAGCGCTAAACATCGAACCTCGTGGTCAGTAATTTTGTTGTCGATGGTTTTACTATATGAACGCCGGAGTCATCAATTCGTTATTGATGGCGAATTTTTTTTTTTTTTTTTTTGAACGACGTGGTCATCAATTTTGTTTTTGGAACGTCGGGTTTACCAATTTTTTGGTGGTATACGTCTGAGTCGCCAATTTTATTGGCGATGGGTTTTTTTTTTTTTTTTTTTTATGTGAACGTCGGGGTGATCAATTTTTTTGATGTGAACGTCACGGTCACCAATTTTGTTGGGGACGTGCAATTGTTAATTAATTGAGAAAGAAAGAAGAATTTTGAGTTGGTTGCGTGTCTTGCTGCATCCCAAACAAATAAATAAACGAAATTCAAAAATGCAATTGAAAACGAGACATATGCAATTTAGAAATCAATGCAACATTTATATACAATTTAACAATATACAGATTGATAATCAGTGTGTGTCGTGGACGAAATGTGTGTGTAATTGTTAGATTTGTGAATGTCTCTTTGTTGATATTGTTCGTTGATTCGCTGTCTTTTGTTTGTGTCAATAATTGTAATTGTGAATTAAAGTGTCTTTTTGAAAAGAGTTTTTTAGAGTGATCTACCCTAAACGTAGTTGATGTTTTCGTAGGTTGTATGTTCGTTGATGTTTACTTATTTTAAAGTAGTGAATTTAATTCACTGTACATAAGCAAAGTTGAGAAAATGTTCACAGAGTTGATTAATGAATGATCGAATATGAGTCAGCGATGTATCTTCGTGCGCGGCAAAATTGTGATTCGTAGTGGCGTGGAGAATATTGGAAAGTACTCTGCGAATTCGTGAGACTGACTGTCTGGGGCTGTCTACGTTTATTTTTATATCGTTTGAATTTCCAAAAGTGGCTCACTTGATTTTGGCGCAATTTCTGTTTTGCACGTGAACTTCAAGTGATTGACCAATGGGGTTGTTTGCTTCGGTTCTTGTCGTTTTTATCGGTTGAAGTTTTTTTAGGTACGTAGGCGTACGATGTGGACTGTGCTTTTGTTAGGGTTGGAAAGGTAAGGGTATTGGACGAGTCCACACTCTTATATGTTATGCTGTTTTTAAAATATTACTTTGTACATTTGAACTTCGGGATCACCAATTTGTAGTGGGTTAGCCAGTCTGTATCAGTAACAAAATACAAATTAAGCTGACCCTCTACTATTTTTACTAAATCAAAGACAACAACAAAAAGAGAAATAATCAAATAGGCAGATATTTGTTTTAACAGAAAATATTTTTATATAACAACAAATACACACAATATAATAAAGTTGTTTATTTGGAGTTTTTGGTTGTGTGGGCATGGGTAATTTAAAAGGTGTTATGATCTGGTAAAGGAATTAAACAGTTTATTTGATGGTGAAATTGAATGAAATAGATTGCTTGACTTACTGTAGAGTTATCTCGCTTCGACTGATATAGATACGATTTCCTTTTTATTGTTAATATATTGAGTGAGTTGATTTCTGAATCTCGTCTTGGTTGAATTGCTCACTAGATGAGTTGATGTTGAAAAGAAAGTGAATTCCACAAGCGGGTTGATGTTAATAAAAATTAACTTTTAGCGAGGAAGAGTAGCCAGCATTCTGGCTTTATAATTATTAACTTACAATGTTATCAGATCAAATTTAAGATAAGCTATGTTACAAAAAAGTTCTGATATGTTAAACTTAGTAGATATCTACAAATGTTTAAAAAAATGTTTTAAAAAAATATCATTAATGAAAGATTCCCATACAAAGTTTATCGTTACAATTCATAAAAAAATATTTGTTGAGAATCACGTAAAAAATATTTCTATGGGACAGGTTTAGAGATTTAAACAGAAAATTAAATGTGTATTTTACACGATCAAATAAGTTTCAGTAGGAGCATGTGACAAGACATAGTTGGCCTTATATCGTAACTGAATAACAAACAAGGACTGTTAAATAACTCTTGAATTTTTATATTTCACAAAATTAAGAGGAAATTCGTTCAATAAGTTAATATGTTTGATTTTCTGAGGAAGAATATTCCCTTTTTTCTTTCATGTTTTCCCTTGAGATTAAACAAAAATAAGTGTTTTAATCAGCTGCATAATCATTAACAGCATACTTCAGCGATATTCAAATCTACTTTAATTCTTTGACAGGTAAATTTAGAATCTATAATGAAGGTAAAATTATTTGAAAACATGAAAATATTTCTCATGTTGTCTGTCTGTGTGTCTGTCGTGGGCGTTGTTACCTCGCCCAGGCCGCATTTCTCACCCGATTTCGATGCGGTTTTCACCACAAGTTTCCAAATGGCTGCCGTAAGGACATGACGGAGCCCGATTTTTGAGTTCGGACTCGGGTTCCGAAAAAATCCATAATCGAAAAAATTTGCAAAAATGCAGAAGGAATGATCGCATTTCAACCAAATTTGACACCCTCTTAGAGTCTACCATTAGAAGTGTTGTCCAGAAGTGTCATGATCACAGATCCCTAAACAGCGCGGAAAATCGATAAAACTCAAAAACCGATACGCCCAGATTTGCGCCTGAACCGCATGTCGGTTTTTAGCGAAAACCGACCGGATTTATGAGTAGGCCTTTGGGAGTCACCATGTGAAGTTTCAACTCTGATCCCCCGCCCAACAGAGTGCAAATCGACAATCGATCAACCCTTAAAAATGTTTTTCCGGTTGGGTATTTCCTAAATGCAGATTAATTTAAGGTCACGCTATGCGCGGGAAGAAACAAGTCAGTGCGTGCAGTGGAGTAGAAGAAAACATTTGACCTCAAATTCTGGAATGGGTGCAGGGCCATTGAAATTCGCCTTTTTTATCCCTGCTACCAGGTCTGACTTTGAGCCACAAACTTGACTTTGTCAACACTTTTGCTTTAATCGTCGCATCTTACCAAAATAAGCACTTCCTTTATTCGCGACTTTACTGAATACGTGCTGAGTGAAAATGGTTCCTCCCTCAGCAGTCCATTTTCCAATTCTTTAAACATTTTCCCCTAGCCCAGGCTGCATCCCAGACCTGACGAGGAGTTTTTGCGCTAAAACAGCAGGGCTTCCTCCCACTCCATTTCAAAGCTAATGCCGGCAAACGGTTAGGCTTAAACGAACAAAAACTCTTCATTGCAGCTCCTTGCATTCTCATCGCCGGCATCACGTGCGTTAGAGCCAAGCTGCATATGCAGCAGGCAGCTTGACCTCCTTTACGGCCAAGCGTTGCCAGGAATTGCAAATCATGCGCGTGTGCGTGAATACACGCCCTTCAGCATCTTCCATTTTACGTGAGCTCATTCATTGGTCTAAGTCAGGGCCATTGTCCAGGCTACACCAATCAATGATAAGTCACGCTCCCTTTAAATATCTTCAGCGCGGCTGCATCCACACTCACGTCTTGATTTGATCGCCATTAACGCATCTGTCCTTGGATTAATTGACAGCTTCCTGCTACCGCAAGTTACCTATTTGCTTAAACGTTTGCATTACCCATTTTATCTCCGCGTGCTGCCTCTACTGCGCAGCACAGTCCATCTTAGCGTTCCATACCTATTTCCACCTTTTCGTAATTCAGCGGTGATCAGCACAACAGACGTGACATTGTTATCGAATCGCGCGGCAGTGGGCTCCGAAGAATCAGTGAAACGCACCGGTCCTACGATGCACTGCCACTTCTCTTCCCTTACGGAGAAGATGGGTACCACTTTGGCATTCTGCAAAATGGGTCCACCTTAAAAACAGTGTCTTGCAGGGCTTTCTACGCCTACCTATTGATGATATATGAGGGTGCATTCAATTATCTTCATCGAAGCCGGCAACTTTTCCATCAATTCATAGTAGACATGCTAAGATGGAATCCGAAAGACTCTGTTACATCAGATTGAATCAGACCAAGTTGTGCTGCGACTCTTACATTCACCTCAGTGATGCTTTACGAAATGACGCTGATCCACGCAATATAGGTAAGATGTGCATACTACCTGCAACATTCACAGGCAGTCCACGATACATGTACGCGAGGACGCAAGACATACGTTCGTAAGTACGGCCGACCAGACCTATTCATAACTTTCACGTGTAACCCAAAATGGTACGCAATTGCTAATGCCAGGGCAATCGGCTTACGACCGTCCAGACCTCATTGCGCGCTTACCACCTGAAGTCGGAAAGCTAATGGATGTGATTACAAAGGGCCAGATTTTGGGGGCTGTTTGCTGTCGCATGCACACTATTGAGTGGCAGAAACGTGGCCTGCCTCACGCACATATACTAATTTGGCTGTGCGTCAAGATTGAGGCCACAGAAATAGATCATCTTATTTCTGCTGAAATTCCTGATCTGTCGGCTGACCCTGAATTGCACGAAATAGTGACAACCAACATGATTCATGGGCCCTGCGGGTCGCATTACAATTACAGCAGCTGTCACAACAGCGACGGCAAATGCACCCGGCAGTACCCACGAGATTTCGTAAGCGAAACCATTACAGGGAGCGATGGTTATCCACTGTACCGGCGAAGGAGTCCCGCTGAGGGAGGATTTACAGCAGTGGTAAAGGGCCACCAAGTTGATAACAGATGGGTAGTGCCATACTGTCCCTTACTAACAAAAGCGTTCAATGCGTGCATCAATGTCGAATATTGCCATTCAGTTCGCTCCATCAAGTATGTATGCAAGTACATCAACAAAGGGACTGATGCTGCAATGTTTGGTATTAGGCAGGAAGGTTCCGTAGACGAAATCCAGGACTTCCTTGCAGGGCGCGTCATTAGTAGCACAGAGGGTTCTTGGCACATATTCAGCTTCCCCATCCACGAACGCTTCCCAGCAATCGTTATTTTTCTGCGGATACAGCAATGGATGTGGCTGCGCGTACCAAAGACACAACGTTTACAGCGTTCTTCAATCTTTGTCGACAGGACGAGTTTGCTACTGTACACAGACGTGCCTTCATACTACGTATGGACAAAAAAGAACACCTAGGCTCGGCGGAAGTGCGGGGCCAACTTCGAGGGCTATCCAGGCGTCAAAAAAGACGCCACACTCGGAAGGGTATTCACGGTTCCCCCATCGCGACAGGAATGTTTTTACTTGCGACTCATTTTGCACGAAATTAGTGATCCAACGAGCTACAATAACTTACGGACGGTTAAGGGAGTTTTATGTGACACTTTTCGTAAGGCCTGCCTCCGTCTCGGCCTTTTGGAAGACGACAGCCAGTGGGATGCCACAATGGCTGAGGGAGCTCTTTTAAAATGCCCTCTTGCGCCACCTCTTCACCACAATCTTGTAAAGTGTGAACCCAGTGATCTCAAATCACTTTGGGACAAATACAAGGAATTTTTGTCCGAAGGCATACTCAGAGAAGCGCAACTGCTGTGTCCAACAATGGCTCTTACATTCAACGATGAAATTTACAACAGGGCGCTTATAATCATTCAGAACCTGTTTGTTGAAATGGCGGGGGGGTATCTCTCACCGCTATTGGGCTTCCAACGCCAGATCGTGTGGCTTCCTCTAGTCTATCACCGGAGATTGTGCGGGAGACAATCTTACTCTGTTGATGAGCTCAACGCCTATGTAACAACAAATGAGCCAAAACTTCTCATAGACCAAAGGGCCGTTTACGATGCGGTTCTTGCATCCATCAGGCAGGATACAGGATCAATTTTCTTCCTGGACGCGCCTGGGGGAAAGGGAAAAACGTTCGTAACAAAACTGCTTCTTGCAGAAATTCGGCGCCATGGGGAAGTGGCGCTAGCAGTAGCGTCTTCAGGCATTGCTGCCATATTACTACCGGGTGGCCGAACAGTGCACTCAACGTTTAAACTTCCGCTTGACCTGGTTAAGGCAGAAACAGCTGTATGCGGTATAGCCAAGCTCATCGTCTGGGATGAGCGCACTGTCAGTCCCAAAACTGCATTCGAGGCTGTAAACCGCTCTCTGTAGGATATTCGAAACTCCGATGACCTTATGGGAGGTATAACTGACTTCTATCCGGTGACTTTCGCCAGACCCTCCCCGTTGTACCTAAGGGGACAAGGGCCGACGCTATTCGAGCGTGCTTGAAATCGTCACAACTTTGGCCTACTGTTAGACCATTGCACCTTACCACCAACATGCGTGCACACCTAACTGGCGATGTTGGGTCCGCCGAATTTTCGAATTCATTATTAGCCCTTGGCGAAGGTATTATTCCAGCGGACACTAATGGATTTGTAAACGTCCAAGGTTTGTCTACAGTGGCCACAACGCCAGCAACACTCAGGGAATCGGTTTTTCCTGATCTTCCAACCAACTACAACAATATTGAGTGGCTTGCTAGGCGGGCCATTCTTGCCCCCCCAAAACAGCACTGTGACAACCCTTAATAGACAGCTTCTGCACGTTTACAAATCCACTGACAGAACCCCAGACCTCGCTGAAATGGCGAACTTTCCAGTGGATTTCTTAAACAGTCTCCACCCCGCTGGTCTCCCTCCTCACATTCTGGAACTTAAAGTGGAGATCCCGGTTATATTGCTTAGAAACCTACGTCCATCGAAACTCTGTAATGGGATCAGGATGGCTATTCAGGCCGTCCACTCAAACATTATTGAAGCCAAAATTATAACTGGCTGCGGTAAAGGGGAGCAAGTGCTTATCTCAAGGATGCATTTTTATCCATCAGATTCCGACGTACCCTTCACTTTCAGAAGATCTCAATTCCCAGTCGCACCCTGTTTTGCTATGACAATTAATAAGGCCCAAAGACAAACGCTGCCTGTCACTGGTGTACACTTAGAGGAGCAGTGCTTCTCACACGGCCAACTTTACGTAGCCTGCTCTCGAGTCGGCAGGCGCGAGGATGTGTTCCTTTATTCACCCTTGCAAAAAGCTAAAAATGTGGTCTACGCTGAAGTCCTCAGCCAGTGATACGCAAACTCCATTCCATTTTTCCTATTTTTTGTATGGTTTCCAAAGTACCGGGTTAACAAAACAAGGGCAACAACAACCCCGCCCAAGTAGTATGACCAGTCTCAATATTTCAGGAAACTGGGTTGGGTGTAAAAAGGTATTTGTTGTTAACATTCTTTTTTCATTCGGTTTTTCCAGTTACGAGTCCTTTTTTTAAAGCTGATCGTTTTGTGTTCATTTTGTTTAGTTCTTTTTTCGTAACAGATTTAATGTTTAGTATAGAGCTTATAAAAAATTCGCAGTGTGAGATAGGCAAGAAGTAAAGCATGTAGCAACATCAACACGGCAAAGGGCACTCCTTTAAAGGCAAGGAAGGGCAAAAATATTTTAAATCAAAGTGATAGCGATTGCTGCATGAGTCGTACGATTTTTGAATCAAGCACGGGAAACGCCGGGCCATGTTGCTAGTGCTAGATAATTCTATATTGCATTTATACATGACATATGGTAAATTGTCATGACATCTGGTTTATTTGCTTATTATTTATGAACATGCAATTATATAAACGTGGTGTTGAAACTTATATCCACAAAACAGATTAATAACAGATACATGCAGACACTCTATACCTATAAGATAAATTGAGAAATATTTGAATAGTTTATTTTTCATTAAAATGTCTGTAATTACTTAAGATATATAGCCATAGAGATGTAGAGTTTTAAAATTTTACGGCTCGCCAGACGCTTCTTTTGTTTGCTTAACGGCATATCAACTCCTTATTTAATACCGAAATTTAATTTTCTTGGGAGTTTTGAAGTAATAAAAATATGAAATGTTATTCTGCTTTTACAATTGAATACATGCTAGATGATACTCAGCTTTTGTGCACGTTTGTGTGAACATGATTACTAGAGGTTTGATTATTTTTTAGAAATTGTAGGATATTATATGGATTAATGTCATGAAAGAGTTCTTTCCTGTTGGTTGTTTAGTTGATTTTATTTAGTAGCATATCTACCTCTATGAGTTATTTAATGCTGAAATCTAAATATTTTGAACACACTTTTATGGCTTCAACTACAGATAAAATGTAGTGTTGGTCATTGTGCTATAAAATGCATTGTTGGTAATTCTACTATAAACTGTATTACTGGTCATTCTATTTCTGATGGTATATTTTATATAAAAATGTATTGCTGGTATTTTATTAGAAAAATGATTTTTATACTTTCACCGGGTTTTGTTTTTGTTTGAGAATTTGCCCATAGCTGGAACCCTAGCAGGTACTACTACCCAGAATCCGGGTGGACATGGGAACAACAACAGTTAAGAGGTGGTTCAGCACTCCTCAAATCCCCCATTTATGGCTCCTGCCATTTTATGTCATGCCCAAGCTGTTTATATAAACTAATCACTTATTACAACCGCCAATGAACTTGCTCAGATATAATCATCTGCCTCAGTATTACTTTGTTGAGGTAATCCCTATTTAGTGACTGGAATTATTAGTTAACTATGTTTTTGATCAATTTCCTTTTGCAAACTATGTTATATTTTACGATTTAGATTCATATCTATCAATTTGCTGAAAATATTTCTCATGAAAGTCAGTCTTAACAAAGAGATTTATAGCAAAACGTCTTGGGATTGATATTTGTTTCGCTACCGACAAGCAGATAATCGTTTTACATATTTATATGCCTCCTGCTTTTGCAGTCAGCTTTGATTGTCGAGGTATCTTACGGTTTGCCAATTAGTAATTCTAGAAATGTCGTTTATAACGAAGTACTGTGATGCCACTTACAATTGGCTGTGTAGCCACGCTCGGAGAACAGTCAAGCTTACTTAGTTATGCTTTTGAAGAGTCTTCCATAGACCTGGGTGAAGGACCCTAGTTTACGTTTGTATCCTGCTAGCAGTGCACTATAGATGTAGTAACTTCTACCATTGTTTCTGTTGAAATATTAACGAACCTATTAAGAATTCCATTTTTCTTTTTATGTTTTCATGGGATCGTAGCATGTGTATATATGTATATATTATGGGGGAAACATTAGAATATATTTATTCGTGAGTAAATTAACTACATTTCATGTTTCTATTATCATTTATAAATGGATATATTTTAATTCCGTTTCTTTACCTCATTCATATTCTAAAAATCATTGTAACTTCTTAAAATTCTTTATAAGAACAACAATAATGCAAAAATGTTTGGAATAAAATTAGATGCAATGCAAAAAAAAATCATGTTTATCTATAATGCACACATAACATACATCTCCAGATTACTTGTGGCCCAAGCCTCATTTGATAAAAATTAAAGCAAGTAATTTTCATGTGCGGAGAATATATAGAAATTATGTTATAGACAAGCGTATGGTTGCAAGAAAGAAATACGACAACAGTAGAAATAGATTTACATGGTTTATTTCAACAGGAACGTGAGGGTTTGGGACAGCTACCTTGTGTTAAAGTTCATAAGCCGGCTTTCGAACGAAGCGAGTATAATTAGGAGGGAAGCATTTTTATTGGACTAAAAATAGAGCACTTTAAATATTTTATTTTTCGACCGGAACACGTGTGTCGGAAACATTTGTAAAGAAAGATAATGGTCATTTTGTGACGAGGCTTTGTCCCGTTCACATCCGGTTCTCGCTCTTGCCTGTATTTGCCTGTATTTGCCTGTAAATCAGCCGAGATATGTCTTATTTTATTTTATAACAAGGCTCCCCCAGATCTCGGTCTCATTTACAGTGAGCGTTATTCGTGTATATTTGGGTGATTAATTCATGATAAAGTCTCTGAAGCGTGTGGGAAGTTGTCCTCGTGTTCTTCTTATTGGCATCTGTTTTGGTATGGGATTATTTGCTGAGTTATGTATCCCCGAGGGATGTAGAGGAGAATGATCCTGGTGACTGTTACATGGTGGAGGCAGAGGGATTGTATTAGATAGATGTGTTGGATGTGGAGCCAGTCCTCGGATATGTGCACGGTGAATCCAGATTGTATCACCATCATCGTTTTGCACCTGACACATCATATTGTTCGTTTTTATAATGGTGTAATTTCCTATCCAGGG